TGAGGACAACTACAAACCAAAAAGAGGGAAAAAACTGTCATTACAGAACTTCTAGATGTAGGGAAGTCAAGACAACTACAGGATAGAATGGACTGTTCTAAACTTGGGAAGAAAACTATAAATCACAGGGTAACCTCAAAGAAAAATAATAAACCTTCACATCAAAATAAAAATGAGGACCAGCATAAATATTTAGCGAATGCTAAAACAATAGCAACAAAGGAAGTGATAACACAATCCATAAACAAAATGAGTTCAGTGTAAAAAATTGTATGAAACAAAGAAATTGACACCACGAAAAAGCACATGACAAAAATGACAGCAACAAATTCGTATTTGCCAATAATTACATATCTGGCAAGGGACTTATCTCCAAAATTTATAGAAAACTCGAATACCTCAATACCAAAGGAATTAACAATCCAATGGAAAAATGGGCAGAAGACATGAATAGACACTTCACCAAGGAGGATATTCAAGTGGCCAGCTAATACATGAAGAGATGCTCAATCACTGGCCACCAGAGAGATGCAAATCAAAACAACAATGAGATACCGTCTCACCCCAGCACTGATGGCAAGGTTCAACAAGATAGAAAATAACAAATGCTGGCAGGGATGTGGAGAGACTGGGACTCTCATACACTGCTGGTGGGACTGTGAAACGATATAACCACTGTGGAAAGCAGTATGGCGATTCCTTAGAAAGCTGGAATTGGAGATACCATTTGACCCAGCAATCCCATTACTAAGTATACGTCCTAGAGAGGTGAGAGCCAGGACAGGAACAGATACATACACACTCATGTTCATCGCAGCAGTATTTACAATAGCAAAAGGATGGAAACAACCTATGTGCCCATCAGCAGAAGAGTAGATGACCAAACTATGGTACATACACATAATGGAATGCTATGCAGCACTAAAGAATAATGCAGAGTCTGCAAAACACTGTATAATATGGATGCACTTGGAGGACATTATGCTGAGTGAAATAAGTCATTCACAGAAGGACAAATACAGTATTAGTTAATTGCTGTGGAGGGTCGAGAAAAGGTTTATATATGGATGGAAACTTGCTCTGTTGGTTGCCAGGGGTGGGAGGGGAGGGAGGGAACACTGCAAAAAAAAAAAAAAAAAAAGCATTGACCCATGTCACTTTAGTTTTGTGTATTTCACTGTACATAAATTATATTTCAATTTAAAAAAAAGTCAAGGAAAGGTTTATATATGCAAAGAAACTTTCTTTGTTGGTTACCAGGGGTGGGAGGGGAGAGGAGGGAACACTGCAAAAGATTTTTTTAAAATTTAAAAAAAGTTAAAAGTGCAAGAACCCAACTTCTAATCTGTTTGTTTGCATAGCACATTAAAAAGATTAACAATGAGTGACATTTATATTCTTCATACATTATTTTGCTAACTTTTTATGATTCTTCCCAGGCAGGTATAAAGACAAGACAGAAATGCTATTACTAAGTAAAAAGGGCAGAGGAAAAGCTTCTCCCAGCAGAGTGCAGTCTATGGAAAGGAAGAGAAACCTCAGCACCAGGCAGGGCCTTATTATCACACAGTTGAGAGGTGTCCTGAGTTGTAAGTTGTACCTGCTAACAAATACCCTCTTTGCTCTCTGCACCCCCACCCTGGATTGTCAAATGTTAATAGCTGACTGGCACTTTGTGGGCATGCATTAAATACTGAACAACTGAATGACTGTGCTTGTTAACAAAAAAGGGGTGAAGCTGAGGAACCAAAAAGACCTTCAAAAGAAGGAAGACAGAAAAAAAAATGGAATACACTCCTTCTTCTTCAGGGAGAGCTGTGAATTTTAGAAGACTCTGCCAGTAGTACGGTTTGCACTCAGGCTTAGCCACCACCACTACCACCACAGCTTTCTGAAGAAGCAAAATAGTGATCCTGCTGGGCACTATATAAAGTACACGGGAAAACAAAAGCGTAGAAATTACAGCAAAATTCATGGTAAGAAATCAAGGCAAGGTCAACACCAAATCCTCAGAGTGTTAAAAAGAACACAGATCCTCACCATTCCAAAACTGAAGACAAGCACAGTAACATCTTCACTTCGGAGTTCTAGAGTCACTAAATGAGAGGTACAACTGCCATTGCCTTTGGTTGTATTTGGGTTGATGTTGAATACTCTTGTCACAGTCTAAATTAAAAAAAAAAAAAAAAAGCAAACAAATTAACATTCCATTTTATGCCCTGGATCCTCTACACTCCAGAAAATAACAAAAACAATCCTAAAACAGTAACTTCAAGACCACATTAATTTTAAGGAAAACATCAGAAGTTTACACTACTGCAGATTTTAGTTCCAAAACATTTTTTTTCCTGCTACTTCCAATTGCTACTTTCAGAATATAAAAAGTAAAGATGCTCCTATCCTTCTCACCCCTCACTCCTTCAGAGGCACACATTTTAAAATTCCCTACAAATAAGCTATTGTCACCATTAAAAAAGAAAAGATTATTTCAAAAGAAAAGCGTAAAAATAATACTTGAATGTTTGAGTAAGAATTTAACCAAATTTAATGTTCCAGATAAGGGGTTAGCAAATTTTTTTCTGAAAAGTACCATATAATAAATATTTTAGGCTTGGTGGACCATATGGTTAAGTTCTCTGTCCCAACTACACAACTAACTGCTTTAGAGGAAAGCAGCTTTACAGAGTATGTAAACAAATGGGTATGGCTGAGTTCCAATAAAATTTACTTCCAAAAACAGGCGCTGTTTCATTTTCTATATGATTCATATTCTAAAAACTATGTACCATACTAAGGCACTCTCTAATGTACAAAAAGAAAAATGTCCCCGAACAATTCTTTGCATACCGTGTTATCATTTTTCTCATAGGTGATGTTGAGCTGTAACGCCATGATGGCAAGCAGACAGGTTCCATTACTGCCACTCACATTGTACTTAGACACAGATGGATTTTCTGGCACTGGAGAAGGCGAAGGAGTTGTAGGCTTTGGACTTGGTACTACTGTTGGGGAAGTTTCATCTTGCTTACAACGTGTCTCTGGAGGAATATTGAAAATGAATCATTTTGTTCACAGGAAGGAAATTTAAAACCTAGATTGCTGATAGCTATCAGTACTAAGATCCAGACTCTCAACTTACAATTTAAATCACTCTTTGAACACATTGTAGATGCTAGCAGATTTTCTCAACAATTCCTGTAGAAAATGATGTACTATTCTGTCAGTGCTCCCAATGAAAGTATAACACTAATACCTTTTCTCAGTTTATAGAACAGAAGTTAAATCAGTACATACAGTAGATGCTTGGACATTAGGATGTAACTCTCCCACAAAGCCAGCTGAGAAGGGCTGCTGCCGAGTATCAAGAGACTTCTTCAATCATGGTTGATTCACTGGTCTTGTGGTTCTGTGGCCATAGAAAATCCTAACTAGAGGTTCTTCCTTGTCTCATACTCCATGCAACAGTTTAAACCCAAAGCATTACCTTTCACCTCAATGTGGCTGAACACTTGTTTATTGTTTTATGCTCTTCTACATGACAAAGCTTAATATTTAGAGGTCAAGAATATCTTTAACTCTCTCCTGAAGGAACTAAAGGAACAGCCAGCCAATGCACCATTTGAAATGGTCATAAAATCTGATTGAATATCATGAGCTTCCATTGTGTGCCATGCAAGGTGCCAAAAACAATTACAGAGAACAAACAGGCCTTGAGCTCATGGGTCTTAGTCTAGTAGGAGAAACAGATATTAAACAAACATGTAATTATAAATCATCCTGTTTCGAAGAAAAGGCTGCTGTAAGGGATCAAAGTTGAGGTGGTCCTAAGGTAGGATGGGAGAGGCAAGCAGACCTGTCTAGGACAGGATATTTGAGTTGAAACTGAAAGATCAACAGGAGCTAGCCAGTAGCTTGAGGTTTCTGTTTGGTGTGGGTGTGGTGAGGGGACAGGCAAGCATTCTAGTTTAGGGAGAAGGGGCAGTATGTGTGAGTTAAGTACATGAAGACCCTAAAATAGGAGAGACTAGGTACAACCCAGGAACTGAGGCAGGTTGGAGTCCAATGAGGCCAGAGAAGCATGATAGAGGAGACCTGGTGGCACAGTGGTTAAGTGCTCAGCTGCAAACAAAAAAGCTGACAGTTCAAACCCACCAGCTGCTCCACGGGAGAAAGAGTGGCAGTCTACTTCTGTAAAGATTATAGCCTTGGAAACCCTATGGGGCAGTTCTACTCTGTCCTATAGGGTTGCTATGAGTTGGAATTGATTTGACGATGACAGGGTTAAAGAAGGTGGGGGGGGGAGCCTGACCCAGAGCAGACTAATAGTGGTAGAGGTTCCTGATGTGGTCTATAGAGGCCACATCATACCCTTATGGGACAAGTGAAGGGGTTTGAATTTGATTATGTTTCTCAGAATTTGATCCACCAAGACTGCCTGCAACAAAAACTTATATTCAAAATTAAGACAAACTGATCAAAAAGTACAAAGATAACTGATTGTTACAGTATTTGTTCAATTTCTGTCCTTTAAACATTTAGCTAGGCTGAGTGATGAGAGGCTGATCCAAAATATCCTATGTGGCGGGGAGCCAGCCCATCAGTGTAACTTTACTGATCACATTTTTATTTCTTATTCAAAGCTAAAAATGGAGTTTTATTTTAACTCATTTTCAGTCAGCAAACCCCACACTCACATTTTATCTACTTGGGAAAGGGAAGAGACAGGAAATTTTAATTTATTCCTGTAACATATACGCTACTTATTGCACTATCTGAACAGTTCAACTCACTTAGGATGTTTTTATACAATTTAATGTTATAAAGTAAAATCTCTTTCTAGACATAATATATAAAGATGGGTCAAGAGGGGCGGGTAATAAAAGCTCACTGAGTAAATGTATCAACCTCTGTAAAAAGAAATCAACTTTAGTTTAATGGTAGTTAAACTCCTGCTAGGCCTAAATCATCAACTGGTGAAGTCTAACATATGATATGCTGATAAATACTGTTTGCTTCTTACCCTTGGGCGAAGTTCTAAATTGAAATTATAGTCATACTTAAGTTAAATGTGCAAATAAAACAAATCAAAAGTAAAAAGGCCAGACTATAAATTCTGGTCCAAATGGCCACACATTATCTATTTAGGAAGTACAACCTTCACTTATTGACAATTATTTCTTAATGCACAATCCAGCTAACAGTCACTCCTTCTCTTGTTTACTAAAGCACGTTACATCAAGTTGAAAAGACAAGTAATGTACCCTTAGGTCTAACCACCAGTCAGAACATTTTTAGACTTTAGACATCTGCATGGATAAAATACTCCTTCCTTCTATCTAAATTATAAATGTAAAAATCACACTCTTTAACAAATACTATTTCTTCTTTAGTTCCTTAAACAAATATTTAAGTACCTACTACCAATACCAAAGTCCTTCCTGTAAATTACCACTGGTAAAAAAACAATCCCTTTAGCCATTATCCCAATAGTCATGTTTGATCCTCCAAGCAAGACTGCTAAGGAATACTGCAAATTCAAGGCCTGCCACAGCAGGTTGAAAGATGAGAAAAGGCTGTGCAGTCTTAAATGTAAACTACTTTTATCAGTTTACGCTTAAGACAATCACACACTTTCACCGTTCAGTAAGGATAGTGATGGGTGAGAAGACTGGTAGGATTTGAGGAAGAGAACTTTCTTAAGTAAGAGCAAAACTATTTAGAATATATTTATTACTTACTCTGTGCAAGGAAGTGAGGTAAACCCTTTACTTGAATTTCCTTTTTAATCTCAACAAGCTTCTAAGGTTAGTATTCTTATTTCACAAATGAAGAAAATCCCTTTCAAGAGGCTAATTAACTTGCCCATGATCACACAGCCAGTGAGTTTGGACCTCTGTCTGATCCAGAGTCCCTGATCTTAACCATAAGGCGAACCTAGAACAAAAAGCTGCATCCCCAGCTGAATTAGGAAACAGATCCTGCAGTTGATCACAATCTAATCAGAAAAGACTAACTGGTCCTTCCTCCCACCTGTTCCTAAACCTGCCTAAACTGGGACTGACAGAAGACTGTGTCTTTGTGTCAAGGTAACTAGCTTGAACTGAAAGAGATTCTGTGACCCTGATCTCATTAGCCCTTAACATGGGAAGAAACAGAGAAGGTTTCAATTGCTTTGTCCTTTTACCCTCTTTTAATCAAGATGTATTCACTCTCATCTAACGAGGTCACCATCTCTAAAAAAGAGAAAAAAAAAAAAAAAAAAGGTAGACTGTTCTTCAAAGATACAAGCTACCAACTTAGTTCCTGCTGTGTGAATGCTTAATTACCATGTATTTCACTCAGGCTGTACGGCGTACTGGATAAGGCATTTGGTTGCTAACCAAAAGGTCTGTGGTTCAAATCCACCAGCTGCTCCACAGAAAGAAGATGGGGCAATCTACTTCAGTAAAGATTTACGGCCTCGGAAACTCAATAGGGGTGGCTATGAATTGGAATCAACTTGAGGGCAGTGAGTTTGGATTTGGTTTTCACTCAGGCTGTAGGATATAAAGAAGTACTTCTTTACTATAGTCAAACAAATGGCACCAATGGATCAAGTCTTACCTTCCTTGCTGAAGTTATTATGTGAGAGGTATGCCTGGATGGTTGCATCATGGAGTGTGATAGTTACATTATTCATGTGTATCTGGTTGCGGCTCACACATCTGTATTTTTTATCTATGTCTGCCTTGATGTCAGTTACAGATTCCACAATATTGCTTCCTATACACATTAAAAAAAATAATAATAATTTTGTAGCTTCTCTGCTTATTTTGTCATCTTAACCAGGGGAAAAAAAAGTAATTTTGAACTACGTACTTAATTAAAAGTAATTTTAAACAATCCTCCTCAATTCACTTTTCTATCACCTCATAATTGTAATTTTCATTAATTTGGTGCTTACCCTGGGAGCTTGCATTGGGAAAAATATTTGTGTCTGACAAGTTATAAAAAAAACTTAGCATCTGGACACTGTAATGTGTTGTACTCCTCGTGAAATTTAGTGTCAATGTATGTCCTCCTCCAAAAGCAATCTTTAGACTGGAGTCAGAAGTATTCTCTGTACCACAAGAGCTGCTATTCAATACTTTTGCATTAGATGGCAGATCAAAGGTCACATTCTAGAACAAACATAATTATAATAACACAATTAGAATATCATTACTAAAGGATTTCAGAAATATCAAAAGAATCTGATATAAACTTAGATCTTAGTTCAATCCCAAGTATCACTGTTAAGGCATTTTATAATAGGAACATAATGAATGTCACTGAACTGCACATGTGAAGATTATTAAAATGTCAAATAGTCTGTTACATATATTTACCACAAAGTTTCTTCAAAAAAAGAAGTCAGCATTACATTTCAGTAAAACATTGAAAATAGAATTCAAATTTGAGATAAAATTGTCTTATTCACATAATTAAAAATTCTCCTTCCACTGGTATTTTAATTTGTAACAAAATTAAAACTAAAGTTTTATTGTTAATTTTTATATTACTGTATGTTTATATATTTTTAAAAAGCAATTACTGTTTTTTGCTACAGAAAGTTTTGTTTTAAAAGTATATCTCATACTGTGAAACCCCCAAGACTATGGCTCTTAGAAACCCTTCAGCCCTGGAACTGAACTCATGCCCATGACTTCCAGACAAACAACAGACAGGTGTACAGGATGAATGTTTACACCAGGTAGGTGCACTCCTTAGAACAATCAGTCATGGGAGATCAGAAGGGCAGTATTTGGACAGGGAGACAGCTCAGAGGGCAGGAATGCACAGGAAAGAAGGACACAGGGAAAAGATAACAACAGGGAGGAAGTGGGAAGAGAGCTGTTACATTATGGGGATTGCATTCAATGTCATGAAACAGAATGTGTATGAACTGTTGTGTGGAAAATGAATTTGCTTTGTAAGTTTTTACCCAAATCACAATTAAAAAAAAAAGTCTCATTAAGCAAAGGGAAATAGGCATGTTTATTTGAGAACTGTTGAATTTACTCATATAAACAAAACAACTGGAAAACCACCTAATATCCAACTAAAAGACTGGACTGGTTAAATGAATTATCATTTACCCGTATACTAATGCAATCTTTTAAAAAAACAATAAAAAAAGGGACATAAAGCTACATGAGTTGACAAAGACATGTTTCTGTGATATAGTAAAGCACGTAACAGTGTATGTATGATCCCATTTGTGTCATACAATTAACACATAAAAAGAGGATATTAAAATATAAAAAAAAAAACAATCTCCAAAACCAAACACCAAAAAAGTGAAGTCAAAATTTAAAAATGCTTGAGCAAGTCTTTATAATTCGAGAAGCTTTTATGAAACAAAATACTCCCAGTTTGTTCTATTTTAATAAAGACCACATTAGAGAAGACAGCATAAATACATTAAGGTGTGAGTGGTCAGCACAAAGACAGGGGGCTTTCACAGAAGCTCCTATGTCTCCAGCTTTCCTGGACTCCACAACCGCTCTCTGAGAAGTAGCAAAAGATATGGTGTGAATATGGAACTGGATAAAGAAAAATTATCATTTCATGAGAAAATCAGATGTGATTCACAAATATCTTTAAAATAGTAAGTACTAACTAGAATGAGCATAAGAATAGGAAGAAATACAAACACATACATACTATTTGTTAGAAATCTAAGAAATGAAAATATAAAAAACTTTACTTATCCTATATAAGCACAAAGTTTAAACAACTAATGCCAAGCACATTTTAATCAAAGTAGCACAGTGCTTACAGTTATTTCTATACATTTCCTAGAGTGTAGCACTTTATCTACTAGTTCCTGGATGGTGCAAAGGGTTAACAAACTTAGCTGTAACCAAAAGGTTATAGTCCACCCACAAGTACCTTGGAAGAAAGTCCTGGAGATCTACTTTCCAAAAATCAGCCCCTGAAAACCCCATGAAGCTCTACTCTGACACACATGGGGTCACCAGGAGTTGGAAGAAACTAGACAGCAACCAAAAGGCTGGCGGTTCAAACCCACTAGCCACTCCTCAGAAGGAAGGTTGGGCAATCTACTTCTGCAGTGATACTGCCTCGGACACCCAAGGAGGGGTCGCTATGAGTCGGGTCCGACTCGAAGGCACATAACAACAACTAAATTAATTCAACAGATCAGAAAAACTATATTCACAGAGCTATTCCCTGGGCATTAAAAAGAGTATTTAAAAACTTACCAACTACCAAAAGGAGTAGTTTAACAAATTATGGTTAACATAATTATGTATTATATTGTAATTGTAAAAGATAATTATAAAGACTTGCAAAAATGTTCATGATAAAAGAGTGAAAGGAAGAACACAAAATGGGTTATACATGATGACTGCAGCAACACTATATAAAATAGTTAATGTTACTGATGAACCTAAAAGGGAATATGCATTCATGTAAAGAACTATGTTAAGGTGGGATTAATTTTTCAAAGACTTAAAATTTTAAAATAATCTTCACACACACGCACACATACACACACAACCAAAGCATGAATTTCCCTGGTGTTTCTTACCTTAGAACCACTCTTAGTATCATAGTTCACTAAGAAGGTAGCTGAGAAGTTGGCCATTATGCAAGCTGTTCCGTTGCTATTTTTCACCACAAACAATGAAGATGCACCATGCATGAGACCTGCTATTTCCAGGAAAGACAGAACACTCAAATAAATACCTTTCTGAAAATAAACTGGGTTTTCTGTTTTCTACAGCTTGCAGTAACAATGAATTCTATCAGAAGATTCCACTGTGCTTCTCAAACCACTAAAGAACTGGACAAATGGATTACCTAGGCTGGTTTGTCTGGATCTGCTATCCCTCCCAGACACAATCCTAAAATGTCATCTATAAATCCACCTGACCAGTTTGCCAAACTGGTCCACAGCTATTTTAACGCTTTAACTCCAGAACCATTTACCTGGAAGTCTCCTATGAGATTTCTGGGTCAATACAAGGCATGTATCACTCCATGAGCCTCTGAGGATTTTATTATAATACCTGGTGGAGCCTTGAAACACAATTCAACCCTGACCATCTCAAGCTAAATAATATGTATATTCTACAGAAATCTTTGGATTCTATGGGAGAGCTTGTGATGTCTTTTATTGTGGTCTTAAACTGCTATGTAAAGTTTGATGTGCTTTTACTTTTCATGGAGTAGTGATGTCTTAAGAAGGCTATAGATTCAAAGGGCTGAGTTCTTTTCCCAATTTCAGAAAGGTCCTCAAAAATGGTGACTTTATTTTACTTCAACCTGACTTGTGTAACCTTAGGCACATCACGTAACCTCTCTAGATAGAGCTGCCATATCCTTAAAAATGAAGTGACAGAATAGAAACTCTCTTGGGACTTTACAGCTTAAGTACTTTCTCTTTGAGTCAGTTCTCTGAGGGCCAATACCATCTCTGGCCCTGTGACTGAGATGTTTAATAGCAAATGTAATCTTATCACTATGGTAGAGAAGTTAATTGTACAAGTTGCATATTCATCACATCAGTCTTTTATTAAAAACAAACAAACAAACAAAAAACAACCCCCCCCCCCAAAACAACCACTGACATCAAGTAGATTCTGACTGATAGCACCCTATAGGACAGAGTAGAATTGCCCTAAGGGTTTCTAAGGCTATAAATCTTTACGGAAGCAGACTGCCTCATCTTTTTCCCATGCAGCAGCTGGTAGGTTCAAACCACTGACCTTTTCATTAGTAGCTGAATGCTTTAACCACTATGCCACTAGAGTTCCTGCAGTCTATTACAGGTGAGCAAAAATAGATGGTTTTGCTCATTCTAAAACCAAAAATTTATCAGTCACCACTGTGTAGTATAGTTTGTCCAGAAATTAAGTGCTGTCACTTATCTCTGCTGCTACAAATTAGTGCATGCCTTTTCACTGAACATTTACACATCTGTGATATAACATGACTGGCACTGTAAGTGTAAATATGATTTAAGCACACTTTGAGGGCAGCAAAACAGAAGACACTAGACTAATAAAATACTTCTCTAAATTATTTGAAAAACTTTTTACTGACCCAAAACACTGCGTTAGGAAACATTTCACACTAAAAAACTTTTCAATCAACATTTTTTTCATTTTGTAAATGTTAAGTATGGTTAAAGCGTTGGGCTGCAAACCAAAAGGTCAGCAGTGTGAACCCACCAGCCTCCAAAGATGACCAAGACTTACAGCCTTGGAAACCCTCAGGGGCAATTCTACTCTGTCCTCTAGGGTCACTATCAGTTGGAATCAACTCAATGGCAGTGGGTTTTTAAAACAAAAAGTACTGCTAAAACAAATTTAAAATAAGCTTTAGCAGCATTAGATGTGCATATTTATCCTGGAGAGGCCAAGAAAATTTGAATTATTGAAATAAAAAATTTAATCCCCAAAACCAATTACGGTTGAAAGAAAAGTATCTACAGCATCATCAGATTATTCCATTTTAAGAGAAATGTATTTTTATGCTAATGTTAGAAGTAGCTGTGTGTTATTTATTCTGTAAAAGTGGAAATCATTGATTTTTTTTCCCCTCAAATTAACTAAAATGTCTAAGGTGATATACTAGGTGTTACAACCTCAACACAAGCACCTTCTGGCTATCACCAACTGAATACATCAACTCTCTTGCTTTTTAAAAATTGCTAATCTCCAGCAGTCCTTCAGTCAGATACAAACATGATTATTTTTTAAGGGGTTATATAAAGGAGTAACCCTTGCTCTTTCCTTCAAAATACTTCTACTTATAGAAATTTTATTCTTTAAAACAAGTACAGCTCTGGGAAGAGATGTACTTCTCTGAGTTAGAAGACCTAGGTTCTAGACTTGACTCTGCCACCAGTTTGACCCTGAGCAAGCAGCAACCTCCCAATCCCTGTAAAACGCACCCTATAAAATAGAAATAAGAATACAGACATATAACAGCTGTTTAGCACACTAAATAAGCCAATGCATGTAAAACATGTAGCACAAGGCAAAGATACTAGTTTTAACAATAGTATTATTAAAACATTAAGTTCTGTACAGGTAGAGATGGTATATATCAAGCTCACCAGGTAATCCACAGTACCTGAGTAAGTATTTTATTTAACAAGCACTTGTAATACACTTACTACATACCAGGCACTGCTCTAAACACTTTGCAATTAATTTAGTTAAAATAACAATCCTAATAGGCAGAAATTACTTGACCTCCTTTTACAGATTTGAAAACAAAAACACAGTGAAGTTACCTAACTTGCTCAAGATAGCACAGCTTACTAGCTGTGGTGGCTGAGTCAGATGTAGAACCCTAGCCTTCTGACTACGAAGCATGAGCACCTGGGATTCAAATCTCAGAGGCTTAGCTCCAAATGCACTCTGAACCAATCTTTCAAGCACTTGCTGATTGAATGAACATGCTTTGAATTGTGAAGCATTTGCTTTTGAAATTAAACATTTGCCACCTGAAGGTACTTGTCAATAAATTTCTTTATAGAGAAATTTTTTTTTACAATAAGAAAATACACCCCAGTTTATTCTGATTTTATAGACATATTTTTTGATCCAGCATTTTTCTTCTGAACTAATGATGCAAAACATGATATAAAGGATTATAAAAAAAAGACCAAAGTATATATATTTCTAACAAAATTTAAGTATATGTTTGCTTAAGAGCTTTAACCAAAACTGGACATTTCTTTATGTATTTACTGAGCACTTACTATATGACATGCACAAGTTGGGCTATAAAGTGAGGAATGGAGATATATATATATATATATATATATATATATAAAATAATCACAATACAAATGAATTAATGCTCTAATGAAAGCATGGATTGTAAAAGACTGTATAATAAAAATCCTGCTGAAGCAGAGAGAAATCTAAAACTAATTTTGTCTGGGATCAGCCCAAATTACTAGAAATTCACAATTACAGCACACAAAAACATTTTGATCTCAAATCTAATGAAGAATTTGGTCTTTAATCCTGAATAACTGACAATTTCCCACAATGAAGGGTAACATTAATTAGTATAAAATTTTTCAAACTTCCTAAGTGACAGATCTTCATTTTGAAAGGGGAAGGAGGTCATCTAGCTAACATCAATGGTTTAAAGAGTCACATAATGCAAGTGCACATAATCCTGTGATCAGAAAATAAAGTTACAGTTTATGTTTGTCTATGCTTTCTACCAAGTATCTTACACACAAAAAAGCTTTAAGTTATCCTAATTATTAATGTAGAAGAAATTAGTGATTTAGAAGTCTAAAATTATTTTCAAAAGATTAATTTTGGGGCAAAATTGTTCACTACAATTAGCATTATTTTAAACAGACCCAAGACCAACTTTTTAAAAGATCTTTTAAACCTTAGAATTTTCAGTTGAATGTAACACTGTAAAAATTACAATGCAACTGGAGTTAAAAGCTAGCTTTAAGAATAGCAATCTACTTCTGTAGTGATACTGCCTTGGAAACCCAAGGAGGAGTCTCTGTGAGTGGGATCCAAGTCGATGGCAGTGAGTTTGGGTTCCGCCCCCCCTTTGGTTTTGGTTAAAATCAAAGAGGGGGGGAGAGAAAAGAAAAGAAAGAGAGAGAAACAAACAAAAAAACAGAAACAAAGAATGTCTGAATTAATTTCCTGCTCTCTGATTAAATTTATTTTAAATGAAATTCAACCTCAGTGAAACTGAACACATCTGAATTACATTTTAAACAAATTATTTGCCCATCTATCTCACCTCTCCTCATGTAACCCACCTGAACCATGAAAATCTTTGGAATGGATTAACAAAGTACTACTTCATCAAAAGAAAAGATATACATAAATACTCTTCTGAGGTTAGTTATTCTCATCAAATTGCATGGTACAAAGGTCCAATGCTACATAGTAAATCTTAATTATGATAAAAGTGGAAATTTGAACTATAGATAATCCAGTGACAGTACTCAACTCATAATAAACAACCAAAGAGAGAAGTCCAATTTATATTAGCAACTGAGTTTTAAAAGGACTGCCTTTGATTAACAGGGGCAATGGATAATAGGGCATGAACTGTGGAACGCACATTACCAGTCACTCTGGGCTGGGTTCAGCGGATACACCTCATGAGCAGTACGAGGACACTGGGACCGTGGTGCCAAGTGGACAGTGTCGGATTACCCAATAAGCAAAGTAAGCACGGGCTAATTTGTGCTTACTTACTAATCTGTGGTGAAGAATGTCACATGTGAAAGCTCATGCTTACCCTGCTAACTGGGTAACCTTCCCCTGCAATACCTGTATATGTTTAATTCACATTAACTTCTGTATCATCTTTCAGATCCTAACACTTAAGAAAAATCTTCCTATATTATTGAGTGGATGAGAAAAAATTCCATAGAAAGAGGTTCACCCAGTGCCCCGGAACAGACTTAAGCCATGAGTAGACAGTCATTGAAGAGACAGTATACATTTCTCTTTATTATTAGAGCAGAAAATAAGAACAAATTCCCCAATCAATAAGGTAAGTACTGTGAACCTACTGCTCCTCAAATTCTATGGGCTGATGAGGACTCAGAACGCTTCCCTACGTGTTAATGGATTCTCTTATTCTGACTTACAAGAACCAGTACATAACTGTGAAACATGAACAATGTTCTTTAAATCTATTTATTAGAAATGAACGCTGCCATTGTGAATCTGAAGCCTCATTTTGTCTGCCGGGAAATCTCCTAAAATTTCAAATCATTCTAACAAATTTAAATTCACAGTAACATAAATGTAATATAAATACACACATCTTGTACTGAAAGGTAAAAGTATAAAGTATTAACTCTAAGAGGATAGGAATCACTGCACTATCCTATTTTTTATGGGTAAAATCATGTTGTAAAAAGCTCGATTTAGGTCACCTATCCAGGCAGAGACAAGACACAAAAATTAGTTCCTGCCATCTTGGGCTGCATAACCTCATCTAGGCCTCACCGGCTAAACTTTCCAGTAAATTAAACTAACAACCACAGCTATCTTGAAAATAGCAAACCACAAAACCACCACTGAGAAGTTTCGTTTCGAACTTAAAACCCCAGAAAATATAAATTGTTACTAAATGGGAATACCAAAGCCAACCGGAATCATGCCCTAATCTAACATCTCGAGCCATGAAGGCACACCTCTTTCTTGTCCACTTTTAGGCACCTGGACTTCCAATTCCCAAACCACCTGTCAGTGAGGTTCTACCTCCAGATCCCACACCCCTAAATTGCAAGGCCAGCTACCGCCCGACTGGAGCCACCGCCCCTGACGCGCAGAACTCGGCCAAGAGCCAAACTTCATCACAGGCAACGAACATGTCCAGTCCAAAGAACGACTCTTGGGGCCCCCGACAGCCCAGCCGCCCCAAGAGCTCCGCACAGACCCCTCGACCTCCACCTCCTCCCGTAGGCCGCGAGTCCTCCGAGTCCGGGACGGCGGCGCTCCGCAGTGCTTGCTCCCACTCCCCCGCCTTACCAAGCAGCAGCAAAAGCAGCTGCCACCTCTGAGCATCGCTGGAGGCTGCCATTGGCGCGAGGGGCCGGGGAAGGCCGGTGCGTGAGGGAGGCGAGCGGCGCGTGAAGGTCTCCAGTCGGTTGACGGTTGGTGACCGGCACCTTCTGCTATCTATCTAAACTTGGGAGGCAGGGATTAGGCGAAATCGCTTAGGAGAACAAGGGTCGGGGCGTGGCGGGGCCAGGAGCGCCCCAACAAACTCCAGAAGCGCCCACTGTTCTGTGCTTGCAGGCCAGGAAGGAGACCCCGGCGGACGGCTTTCCCTATCATGTGACCACCGCAGCGAAACCAGCCCCCACACTATCACGTGAGCCCCCGAGGGATCGGGGCGGAGCAAGGCAAGCGAGCATCTCGCGAGACCGCGCTGGCGCCCGGACGACCCTGGCTCTTCTTCCCACAGTTGCGTCATCGTCCTGGTGACCCGTCCCCTCGGCGACGGGTGTGTTGTAGCAGAGCTTTGACACGTGATCCTGGATCCGATCCAGCCGCGTAGGTGATGGGAGAAGGGATCTCGAGATCTGGCTTTTTCCTGGCAAGCGTAAAGCAGAAAGTAGATTGAGGAAAAAGAAAAAAAGGAAGTGGAAGTGGAAAGTAAGAGTGAAGGAATAAGGGAAAAGAGGAAGGGATGGAAACAGAAAGGAGAGGCAGAGGGTGTAAAAAGCTGGAAAAGTCCCTGAAGATTGATTCAGACCCAGAGTAAAACATGTAGACACACCTCAAGTTTTTTTTTTTTTCCTCTTTTTAATCAACCCAATGAAAGCCCATCCAGTTGAAAAAGTTAGAGTGAATGATTTTGTTACTGATCGTACATACGGTATTAGCGTTGGCAATGAGGTTTTGGAAGTACAAGGGTGAATGACTGTGCATATTTTTCATGTAAATCGCTTCTGTAGAGTCAGGAGTTTTTTGGGGAAAATGATTAGCCTTCTTTGATAAATGGGAAGTAAATTTCTCAGTTACTAAACAGGAAGACGATTTCTCAACTCCACAGTGCTCTTAGGAAAGGGTAAGAATGGATTTGAAATCAGATGCAATTGTAGAGCCTTCCCGTAATCTCATTGTGAGCAGTGGAAGACGCCCCTGAGCACATGGCTCCACTATAAAATGGTATTATTGGGCACCCTTGACCGTTGGAAGATCACTGAGGAATCAGTCTCACCTAGTAGTATTGAGGATGTCTGCAAAGGACAACTAAAACATTTTTTTCTTCTTTGGGATATGGTGATACATGAAATCCTGGAGTTTTGTCCACTGATAATCTTAGAGAGTGGAAACAGGGTTTAGGATTACAGAGATGTTTGAACAAGCCAAATATTGAATATAGTTTTGTGTTTCAAAACAAAAGAAGATTTTAAAAAATAATACAAAGTCCAAAAATCTATCTCTGGGCAAAATCATCTTGGATAAAGGGGATTCAGAAGTCAGTGATTGTTGGCTATGACATTTTTCCTAATGGATTTATCAGAATAGGGTCTAGGTGTTTATATGTTTAAAAAAAAAGGTGAGAAACACTAAGGTAGTCTGTGGCAGAGTCTCTGCAAAATGGCAGTCTGGTTGAAATGAAAAGTAAAGAGCTTTTATTGAGAGGTGAGGCAATTTGCAAACTGGAACTCTTGAAATCCAGAGGACTATGAACTAAGTAATCCAAAGAGGAGACAGTTCAGAGAGTTTATATTAAAAAAATAAATAGAAGAAAATTCAGTGATTGGTTGACATTTAGGTGATGGTTACAAAATTGAGTGATGGTACATCTGATTGGTAGGAGATGACATACTTTTCTGAAGTTGTTTTTTTTTTTAAAGTTACAAACTCATCATTAGGTTGGACACAGCTGGCCTCAAAATGATCATGAGATCCTCCTTGCATGACTACAGGGAGTACATGGCATAATTCTAAAGTTTGTTTCGAGTAAGCATTTGTTCTGAGAATTGTTCTGGAGCTGGCTTCTCAAGCAGCAAATAGAACTTTAAAGGAAGTAAACTTGACATTGTTTTCTAAAATTGTTCACCAAGTAATTTTCTTAAGATAACAGTGGAGTGTTACAGGAATGACAGGCTGTATACCTGATGCAAAGGTTACTTTTAATTTAAAATGGAGTTTCAGCCTCAGACCTTAGCATGGTAACAATCTCATATTGTTGTTGTTGTTTTGTTAGGTGCCATCAAGTCGATTTCAACTCATAGCAACCTCACATTGCCACAGAAGGAAACACTGCCAGGTTTCATTTTGGGAGTCCTCAATTAATGTGGTGTGTTCTTACTCAAACCTAATCCACATATTCCACAGAAAAAGAAATCAAAGTCTCATTTTTTCTAAAACCTGGAAGAACCTCTCTCAGTTCATTGCCTATTGCCTGCAGGATAAAGATCACATTCCTTAGTTTGTCGAGCTCTGGTAGCATAGTGGCTAAGACACTTGCCTGCTAACCAGACGGCTGGCGGTTCAAACCCACCAGCCACTCCTCGGAAGGAAGGTTGGGCAATCCTACTTCCGTAGTGATACTGCCTCGGAAACCCAAGGAGGGGTCGCTATGAGTCGGGGCTGACTCGACGGCACATAACAACAACAACAACAACAAGCCAAATTCACTGCCATTGACTCGGATCCAACTCATAGTGACCCCTCCTTGGATTTCCAAAGCGGTATTACTATAGAAGGAGCTCTGGTAGCATAGTGGTTAAAGCACTTGACTGCTAACCAGAAGGCTGGCGGTTCAAACCCACCAGCCACTCCTCGGAAGGAAGGTTGGGCAATCCTACTTCCGTAGTGATACTGCCTTGGAAACCCAAGGAGGGGTCGCTATGAGTCGGGGCCGACTCGACGGCACATAACAACAACATTACTATAGAAGTAGTAGCCCAGTCTTCCTTCCAAGGAGTGGCTGGTGGTTTTGAACCACCAGCCCTCTGATTAGAGTCAGTTGCCTTAGACACTATGCCACCAGAGCTTCTAGTCTAGTTTGTCTTCTAGGGAGGAAAACCTTCGAGGCTTTCATTTCTCCTGTTAGTGTCCCATTCTCTTGCCATATTCATATTTTTATCTTAATTGCCTTCACCTTTTTGCGGACAATTATTCACATACATAAATGGGTTTATAGTATGCTTTTACCTGTGGTTCTGGCTGCACCCTTGTACATTCTTGTTTTCCCAACGTCATTCTGCATTCTTTTTGGAAATTATGAAACCGCTCAAAGTCCTTTTCAGCAAATTGCTCTTCTGCTTAGATCAGAACCTGTTTTGAATGTGCACAACAACTAAAAAAAAATTAAAATTAGGCCTTGCCTAATACATGTTATATTTAAAATCTTTTCTTTTTAATATTGTAAACTCTATTTAAGACTAAAAGTAATTTGTGCCAGCAGGAGAATAGGATATGAAACAATAGCAGGAGATGAGACTTAGCAGAAGTTCTGACACTGCATGATACAGAGTGGTAAAGTAACGTGGTGGTTTTGTTTTTTTGGTTTTCACACACACACATTTACCATAATTTATTTAATAACCCCACTATAGCTGAATTTTTATTCATGTTTTGCTATTTATATAAAGAGCTATGACGAGCATCTTGTACGTATGTTTTGTGCCTTTGCCTGAATATTTCTTCAGAACAAATTCCCAGAGTGTTAGTTACAAGATCAAAAGTGAACATATATAAATTGTTGTTGTTGTTGTTATGTGCCGTCGAGTCGGACCCAACTCATGGCGACCCCTCCTTGGGTTTCCGAGGCAGTATCATTATGGAAGTAGATTGCCCCATCTTCCTTCCAAGGAGTGGCTGGTGGGTTTGAACCGCCAGCCTTCTGGTTATTAGTCAAGTGCCTTAGGCACTACACTACCAGAGCTTCCAATATATAAATCAATATATAAACATTGATGTTAATTGGAGATTGTCTTTCAGAAAAGTTGTTCTATTTGATGTTCCCATCAGTGGTGCCTATTGCTTCATATTCTTGTCAACACTGGTATTAATAAACTTTATAACCTTTGCCAATATGATAGGCTAAAAATAAAATATTGTCACTGTTTTTTTTTTTTTTTTTTTTTTTAATACACTGCAGTTAATAGTCTTTGCCCTGGAATATTTATCTTTTTGTTAGTGATTTGTAAAAATGATTATATACATTAAGGAAATCATCATATTTTACAAATATTTCCCTTTCTTTGTTTATCTTTAATCTTTGTTTGTGATTAAATAAGCCAAATCTATGGCTATTAAGTCACTTTCGACTCATAGTGACCCTGGAGAATAGGAACCGCCCATAGAATTTCCAAGGCTGTAAATCTTTACGGAGTGAAGTGGCTGGTGGATTTGAGCTGCTGACCTTTAGGTTGGCAGCCAAGCACTTAACCACGGTGCTACCAAGGCTTGTTTTTGGTTGGTGGTCTTTTTTTTTTTTTTTAATTAGAAGACTATTTATTTTATCAAGGTCTATGCATATAATTCAGTGGCATTGATGACATTCTTCAAGTTGTACAGCCATTCTCACTATCCCTTTCCAAATTATTCCACTACCATTAACATAACCTCAGTGCCCCCTAAGCAAAAACTATCTCCTCCCCCCACCCACTACCATTCCTGGTAACCATTATGATCTTTGGTTTCTACATATTTATTTGGTGTAAATGAGATCATATAATTTTTGTCTTTTGTGACCAACTTATTTTACTCAGCATAATATTTTTAAGGTTCATCTATGTTATGCATCAGGACTTCATTTTCTGGTAGTTCAAACCCACTAGTCACTCCTTGGAAGGAAGACTGGGCAATCTACTTCCATATAGATGCTGCCTCGGAAACCCAAGGAGGGGTGGCTATGAGTCGAATCGACTCAATGGCAGTAAGTTTTTGAGTTTTTTTAGTATACTATTGTGTGTATGGGAGCTCTGGTAGCATAGTGGCTAAGACACTTGCCTGCTAACCAGACGGCTGGCGGTTCAAACCCACTAGCCACTCCTCGGAAGGAAGGTTGGGCAATCCTACTTCCGTAGTGATACTGCCTCGGAAACCCAAGGA